CCCAGAATTCCCCAGCCAGCATTCGCTGGCTGGGGAATTCTGGGAGTTGAAGTCCAGACATCTTCAAGTTGCCAAGGTTGAGAAACACTGCTTTAGTCTCACTTTATCCAGTAAAGCCTCCTGGATCTCGAGGATATCTCTCAACTGTCGGACCGCCGCTGACGACGCCATGGAGAGCCGGCTTCTTCCTCCTCCGGCCAATCCAAGCTCGGATCCCGGCGCCTCGGGGTCTCAAAGCGATCCCTTACGGCTAAAGTCCCATGCGACGCTGTGCCCGATCCAGCTGTCAAATAAAAGAAAATAAAATAATAACCGGGAGAGGCGCGACTCCTCCTCGTTTTGAATACACTCGCGAGGGAGCCGCTATTGGCTGAAGCCACGAGGCTCCTCCCCCCCGTTCGAAAATGGAACTCTTCTCTATCCTAAAGAGGGGGGGGGGGCGAGTTTGAGCAAAGTGTACTGCACCGCTTTGCTTAGCTCAGTGTTTCCCAACCTTGGCAATCTGAAGATGTCCGGACTTCAATTCCCAGAATTCCCCAGCCAGCGAATGCTGGCTGGGGAATTCTGGGAATTGAAGTCCGGACATCTTCAGATTGCCAAGGTTGGGAAACACTGGCTTAGCTTACCACGGAAAAGCTATCCCATTTTTTTCCCCAGGAGGCACAAGTAGACTTCAATCATTAACAAAGGTCTCTGTTGTAAAGTCATATCAGCAAGAGGCTTTGGTCTTCCCGTTATTAAACGAGACAAAATAGGTACAGGATAGAAACAGGCACACTCGTATACAGATATGAAACTCACAGAACAGCTGCTGGTTTTCAAATTGGGGTTCCTAGGTTAAACAATTTACTCTATATGCAGCTCTTTTCTGTGCCTGCTTATTTGGAAGCAATGTGAACTGAGGGTTTCACCACTGGTCCCAAGTCACTTTTTTTCAGTGCCATTGTAACGTCCATCATTAAACAAACCATTGTAAGTGAAGGACTATCTGTATTTTCTTTCTCTGGCTTTATCTTCTCATTCTGCAAAATTCTTCATCAACCTCAACCTGGGTCTGCGTGAGGAAGTGTGGTTTCATTATACAGTGCCAGAACTATTGCACTGAAACACAACTGTAAAATAGCCACACTGCTATTGAGTTGCCTAGTTTGTGGCAAACTGAATTATCTTTTGGATTCAGAGTAAACACTTTATTTTGGCTTCTGATAGTATCTGTTTGATGGCACTGTTTTGCCTTGTTAGAGATAGCCAATGTTTTTGATCTTTTTTTCTGGATTTCACCTTATGTCTCTTTGAGATGTTTTATCCCTCAAGTCAGCATTTGTAAGGATTTTATTGCAGTAATCCAGCCGCCCTCCCCCCCAAATGCAACAAATCAGTTTTGATATTTATATCTTTTATTTTATTTTTTAAAATTTTCATACAATACAGTCACTAGGTGTCTATTTAAAGTAGTACATTTAATGATTTGTGTATAAAACACACACCATAAACACACAAGGTTTTGTTTCTCAGTCCAAGGGTGAAATCTTCAACAGCAGATGCACTGAAATTACCCCAGAATGTGGTCAAATTAATGGAGAACTGTTTACTTCAAATTCACAAATTGCTCCGACAAAGTATTTTTCTCTAAACAAGGAAAGAATCTTATTTTAATATTAATCCTCTGAAATGTTACACATCTAAATATTGTCTAAAAAAAGTGAACTATACAGTAATGATTCAATGCTATCATGTAATCACCATTTCGCCAATCTATATATGTACATTCAGAGAAATAAATATCGCTAATAACTTAACATTTAAATAAATAAATAAATTTTAAAAAAAATTGGTGCTTGATGTGAAAGTTAACGAGATTTTTTTCCAGAACTCATGCACATCTGAAGAACATTTAAAAAGAAACTATTTCACAAAGGCTGAACCATGCCTTTAAGTTTATGCAAAAATCTGCTATAGATTTTACCTATTGCCAAATGGGCATATGACAAAATACAGAGTTAATTTTGTCTATCAAAATTCAGGAGCTTGGTTTTCCTGCAATTTGCAATACAAACATTTGTAAAACATGGTTGATGAAGTCTTTCAAAACAAATGTTAATATCAGATACCATCTTTGAGAACCGTTTAGCCCTGAAAGGTGTCTTAAGAATATTTCTATGTATAAGCCTGCACCTTTTCAGCAAGGATGCAACACTGGGATGTGTGTGTGGGGTCAAGTGAACTGTGAGAGGGACACTAAAGATAAACCATGGATCCCAAAGTGATAGACCAAACCCTTTAAGCATAAATTGCCTTTGACAAAAGTACAGAATTTCATAAAACTCAAATTATGTATTCAACATGTTACAATGTAGCACAGGATTAGGCCACATTTCATCTTTAATCCCACAATCACTTGATATAATACTATTTTTTCCAAAGCTATCACATTTCACAGGATTACAGGTAGTCCTCATCTTACAGTAGTTCATTTAGTGACCGTTCAAAGTTACAACGGCACTGTCAAAAGAGACCGTTGCAGCATTCCCAATTTAGGGCGCATCAAAATTTTCAACTTTCAATTTCCAAACATTAGGGGTGTTCAAAAGTTGTGATATGCTTTGGGCATTGTAGAGATATTTTGGTTACTTTAATATAATTTAGATGTGCTTGGTAAGCAACATACATAAATATCGTAACTTTTTAACATTTTGTTTATTTCACACAATCAAGATTCGAATGCTTGGCAACTGGCTCCTATTTATGACCGTTGCAGCATCCCAGCGTCATGTGATCCCCTTTTGCGACCTTCTGACAAGTGAAGTTAACGAGGAAGCCAGATTCACTTAACAACCATGTTATTAAAAACTCCAGTGATTCACTTAAATGTGGCAAGAAAAGTCATAAAAAGGGGGAAAAACTCACTTAACAAATTTCTCACTTAGCAACATAAATTTTGGGCTCAATTGTGGTCGTAAGTCGAGAATTACCTGTATTGTACATTTTCTTTTGTTTGTGAATTATTTATGACCCTGTGTTCAGAGGTATTACAAGAAGAATGAGAAGCAAGCTGCTGTGCTATCATAGCCCAACGGATAAGGCTACCCATTAATATTTGTAGAATAAAGTTATGCCAAATGCATCCTGCCAACAGACCCTAAAAAGGCATGGGTTTTATCTCTAGGCTTTGTAATCAGGCATGACCCGTCAAAACCGCGCTTGACTAAACCGCACCTGATTAAACCGCGTCGCTGATATCATCAAGGCGACAACAGCCAGCGCGGAGAAAGAAGGGCGCTTTAAAAAGCGTTTTGAAAACAAGCCGATTCAACTTAAGGTAAGGGTTAGGTTTAGGGTTAGGATTAGGTTAAGGGTTAGGTTTAGGGNTTTTTCGTCGCGCTGTGATGACGTCAGGTACGCGGTTTCGTCGAGTGCGCTTTAGTCGACCGCGGTTTTGTGGTGGAACCCTTAAAACAAACTGTGAGTTCCATCTCAAAACATCTTTTTGACCAAAAGCTATTCTACTATATTTACATGATGAGAATTGAAGATAAAGCAGGAGTGATTGACCTGTAGCTCCAACACCTCAGTGAAGAGGGACGCTTTGACTCTGTTACCACAATAAAATGTATTTCTTTGTTCTAATCCATTATTATAATCCTAAAAAGTTCAGAATCCTCCCCATATATCATGATTTACACATAAAGGCATTGGAATACTACCCACAAGAATTACAGATTTTTCAGTAATTAAATATCCTAAGGGTTTGGTTTTTTTTTAACTTCATATCTCATTTCTGAAAGGCATAGGCGCACCATCTGGAACATGAAAACAAAATATGAGAAGATACAACACTGCTTTTGGAAGTGTACTGATGTAATTTAGCATGATAAATCTCTTTGCTATCTATTTCATTTGTAATAACTTTCCTTTAAAAATTGTCTACCTTGGCTTCGTACCTAATTCAGAAGGGCATACAATACTTTAAAATCCTATCATTGTAAAAATTACTAAAAAAATAATAATAATACTGAGAAACAGATTCTGCAACATTGGGGCAACTGCTTAGAAGATTCTAAAACTTTTCTCCATTAATTCTGCCTCTGTTCTAAACAAGATATAGGCAGTCCTTGACTTATGACTATTTGCTTAGCAACCATTCAAAGTTCCAAAAGACCTCCCTAAGACTACTTACAACCTGGATTCAAAACTGATAGCCACCTCACACATACACACACAGTCACATAATTGCATTTTGGGCGTTCAGCAACTGACCCGCATTTACATCTGTTTGCAGCATATGCTCTAGTCACGTGACTGTAATTTTACAACATTGTTTGGCCAGAAACCAGTGTTTGGTTCCAAGTTTCTGGCAAAAAAAATGTCCATTACAGACAACGGATTGGCTTACTGACTGTTGCATTCCCTTAATGACCACTGTAAAAAAGTTCCTAAAATTGGGCACAGTTATCTGGTGATCCATTTAACAATTGGCATGATTTACAACTGTAATTTCAGGCTGAATTATGGTGGTAAGTTGAGGACTGTCTGTACAGGGAAGGAAGAATGCAGGATTATATGGAAGGAAGCATTTCTACAGGTGTCCTGGACCTGTGTCATTAAAAAGATGTTAATATCACAGACAGTAAATATCTGAATTCCAGCCCCTGTTTAGTGCTCTTTTTATTTGCTTTAAATGTAGCCTATAGCAGCTAACCACATTTCATATGCAATGAAGCAATCTTCCACAAACCAAGGTTCTTGTGATATATCGAGATTACAACTCTCAAAATCCTAAATTGCCATGTACAGCATCTTTAATACTCTTTAAAAAAAAATTCTATTTCAAGTGGCTACTTACAAAGTAAGACTGGCACTTTTTTTGATTAGTTTTTGTTTCAAATTGCCTGGTACAAAACCACAGAAAACAATTTAATCATTTTCTATCCATCCTTTGGCCTCGAAATATTTAATCTGAAAATGGTTTTCTGTGAAGGCATTGTGGATCTTAATATAATGTATTCAAATAATAAAAGAAAAGAAAAAACCAAAATGCTCACGTTTTTAATGAAAACAATATTGTTTTCTATAGAGCAATAAGTCAAAGTAGTTTATAGGTTTAATGTCCCATCCTTCAAATAATTTGCAGCCCGGAAATTAAGTTCTCTTTTCAAAAAAAAAAAATCAGTTGGAATGTATAGCTATGGGTATGCCTTTTCCAAGATAAAAAGCTTTTCAAATTAACTGCTATTTATATATAATGAACTAGAGGCCTCTTTGAGCAGCAAGATTAAACCTGCTGTTGGAAAGTTAGTGTCAAGAAGTAGCCTCTATTCTTCCAAGAGCACAAAGAAACAGATCTAGACTTACGATTTAAAGAAGAGGCTGTAGGGTGGATTAGTAGCCATCAGCTGAGTTACTATTGAAACAGCTATTATAATAAAGACTGGCAGTAACTGGATAAATGCTGAGTAGGAATTCTGGAAATGAAAACTATGGTTAGTAAAGCATGTAAGAAATATATGGCGAAAATGGAAACCACAATGGTACCACAATCATCCCAGATGGGGCGCTATGTTTTAATTTAGAACAAAAGCATAGGGAAAAAAATGTAACATAAAAATATTTAATCTTATGCCAAAATCTCTTGTGGTTTTCCATTTTAGAAGGCTTGTTTTGTTTGTGGATGCAATTTGAGGTGGTGGTGGGGTTGTCAGTCTGAATGTTTAGGTTTTTGACAATGATAAATAGAAAAAATGAAATAGTATCTACAGAGGCATTAAGAGTTGGGCAGCATACAAATTTTATTGTGGCTGGTCGCACAGTCAGCCAGATGTTTAGACAGGATTTGGCATTTTTGTCCACCTGTTGACTCCTTCCCAAGGAGCTAGGATAGGTTATTTAAGAATATTAAATATCAACCTGTTCCAAGTAAAGCTGCCTTTTGCAATTTTTGAAAAGAGGTTTGAAGTGGATTTGGTGCTAGGCTTACAATTAGTTCCTGTTCTAGCTTCTATTTTCTTTAGAAGAAAGAATAAAAACTGGAGATCTGGGTAGCAGAACCATTTAGAGTTTAGTCTGACTAATTAAATAAGAAATTCAAATTCAACAGAAGGTGTATTGTCACTGCATGACAGAGTTGGTCAATGTGCTATGCAAAGGACAGCTTGTTACTTAGTCAGAATATAACAAAGGAGAAGTTAGAAACTAAATATGGCCCATCTATAACAAAACAGTGAATATTGTGTTAATCAGCTCAGAGATTTAAATTACTCCTCATATTGTAAAAATAATTCAACATACTTTGTCTTTTATGATTAATTACTCATCAGTGATATACTCAGCATTAGCTGTATAACTTTGATAACTCCTTCATCCACTTGCTGATTTTATATCTCTGAATCAATTGAAAAAAAGGTTCTCCAAAGGAAACACCATGCCATTCAGTGAAATTTGTAGCCACATTTATATAAAACAATAAGTCTGCAAATGCTTTCAAAATCTTTCTTAAAAAGACAAGTTACAATTAAGACCCTTCTAAGATTCATAAGTATCACTTCACTTTAAAATAGTTCAAATATTTACTAATTACAAAAAAAAAAACCCCAAGCTTCCTTTTCTAGGGATAGGCAATAAATCAGCACTGTTTATCTATGATTATAATATCTTCCCTTCCCTATGTACCTGTGGTCTGATTTCTTCCTCCTGTTCATCCTGGGCCCATGTCCTCTCATGTCTGTTGCGCTGTGGATAACACGGGGGGTCCATTGAAGAATTGGAAAACATATGTATATTTCCTGTTGAAATAGCAATAGAACAAAGGTGCAATTTTTATCCTGTATTGCTTGTGTCATAAGAAACTAAGATTTCATTTTATTTTTAAAAGCTAATGTCAAACATGCCTTAAAAAAATAGCAATGGCTCTATCAGTCCAGAAAATACTTCCTATGCTGTTTTCATTGCCCGGAATGGATTTTCAAGGGCTGCGTGTTTTAGTAGTGGGGACATCTAATGAGCAGAATTCTACATGTGGAACTTGGGATCAAACATTCATCCGTAGTCCTTGCCTTAATAAGGCAAAAAATGGAATAAAGTGCTATTGCAGAATTGCATGATTCCCCCACCCAGTTTCTGGCAATATTACAAAGAGTTAAGATTATCACAACTGATGTGTTAACATCTACATACTGCCAAAATAGAAGAAGTAAAGCAGCAAAACTCAATTGGTAACCTTCATATTGTCTTATAACTCACCTAGGTAGCGATTTTATCATAAATTAGATTTCTCAGAACTGCAGTACAAATCAGTTTAATAACATTCCTATAAAGCAGAGCAGCCTTCTCAAACATATTTAAGCTGTTCAGAATCATTGACTGAAATGGGCAGCCATAAAAATTGAAAGAAAATAAATAAATGAATATATGCCTGAAAATGTATCGATTACATTCCACAATTCTTTACTATTAGTTAGGAAAAATGAAATTTTTAACTCAACAAAGTGTAAACCCAATAAATGTACTGCGGTATTCAGAGTAGGATAAGCCTAAAGAATTGAGAAAAGCTATTTTAAGTTTCCTACCCTACAGAACTGTGTAATGGCATGGTCTAGTTCAAATAGCATCATATCTTGTTGAGTAGTCATATATGCAGCACTTTTAAAGAAAACTAGCTGATAACCAGGGGTTGTCCAGGTATTTATTTATAGGGGGAAAATGTCCTGACCAAACATAATTTCTAATGTTGGATTTTTCCCCTTGCCAGAGGGAGCCCCCTTGTGGAGCACGGCGAAGCTGTTACCATTGCAACTCCACTGCGCTGAGCCATTTTATGGCAGTACAGTAGAAGCCATTTGAATGCACAATAGGCTGTATCGTAACAGAACATACACCCCGAGTGATGTTGGGATGTCTTACCCCCACAGTATTTATTCCCAGAGAGTAAGTCATCTGTGTACCAAGTTTGGTTGAAATTGCTTGAAGCATTCCAGAAGTATGCTGGAACATATACACACAGATAGATAGATAGATAGATAGATAGATAGATAGATAGATAGATAGATAGATAGATAGATAGATAGATAGATAGATAGATAGATAGANAGGGTTAGGTTTAGGGTTAGGATTAGGTTAAGGGTTAGGTTTAGGATTAGGTTTAGCGGGGTTAGGTTTAGGGGTTAATTTTAGGTTTAGGGTTTATAGCGTGCTTCTGTCTCCACGCTGTTGTCGCCCTGTTGATGATATCAGCGACACGGTTTAGTCGGGCGCAGTTTAGTCGAGCGCGGTTTTGTGATGGAACCCTAATCAGGCAATATTCATTGAGAGAATAAGGCTTCAGCTGGAACCCTCACCTGAAAGTAGTTCTAGCTACAACCATTTTTTTATGTCGTAAGTGAAAAGACCTTTGCAAACGAAGTTACCAACATCTGTGCCTTGGATCTTAGCATGCCCCCTCCAAACAAAACATTCAGCACACAGGATGCCAGGACCTTACTATGATAACATATTCCTTGGATGGCACCTCCACGCACATTCAGAGTTTAGGAATCAGATGGTGTGTTCAGATCTCAATCCACCTGGAAGGAGCCTGCTGAAGTTGTACTGATAGCAAAGCTTAGGCTTACAGAAATGTAACTTAGCTCACAGTATTACCTAGGTGGAAATAAATTCCATTAGCCTGTCTAGAACTTTCCTCTAGGCCAAAAGTTGGAACCTAGCTCACATTCTGATATGCGTGAAGCCACCTGGTTTGACTTCTCTCGGAGTATGTTTTTATTTCATGCTCTAGAGACCTAAGGCTGTTTCCTTTCTTTGTGTACAAGTCTCACCTGGCAACCGGAATACCAATCCATCCTCATCTATTGGCCAGATAAGGAGTTAATGTTCCAGTTCCTGCTTTGTCTTCTCTCCTCATTTTTTCATATTGTTTTTAGATGACGAATCTTCAGGCAGCACTTTAGCTTTTCCAACTGCTTTATGTATTGCAACATAAGACAGTATATATCCTTAAGACACTGGGCTGTAAAGTTCTCTTGAAACTGAATTGCATGTGTTTTGTACAGCATATACAGTCTGCGCATGTATTTGTATGCACTGTCTGTGCATGTATCTATACATAGAAACATAAATGAAAGACTAATGCCATCTTTTTCTCTTCTAACTATGATGTCTTGCAAGGTAAAATTTGAGAAACCATAGGCTCAGAAAGCATGATGGCTACGATCCTGCAAAGCACCCAGTTGGCACTTAAACAGTGGCAAAGTATCATCATGAAGACTATAACAAAATGAAGGTAAATGAAGAATCACTAACACTGAAATAACGACTGGACTGTGAAAGGAAATGCACTGTACACACTACAGCAATTGCTGCCTCTATATCTCAGTCCATATACAGTTTCCATGAACATAAATGATTCCGTGTGTGGTTTGTATGGGATGCTTTTCTCTCTCTACGCCTTTCCTCTTCATTATAAAAGTCAGTCTAATTCCTGCCAACAGAACAGACAGTATTGTTCTCTCATGCCTCAGCCAATTGGCGGCTCCTTTGAATCCCTATGAGGTTGGAGAGCTTTTCACAGTTGTCAAGTTTTATGGATTCGGCTTTCTGTTTCAGTCGCTCATCTCGGTACAGCTTGGCCAAATTAGATAACTCTGATTCTGAAAGATGAAATGTATGTTTCAGTCATGCTTTCAGGGGAAAAAATATTTCACTTTTTATAGTCATTTCAAAGCTTGACTTACGTTGGCTTGGTCAAAATGAAAAGCTATTTACAATCAGAAATATATATTAGCGGACTGCTAGTTTGGCAGTTCGGCGGTTCAAATATCAACGGCTCAGGGTTGACTCAGCCTTCCATCCTTCCGAGGTGGGTAAAATGAGG